TGCCCCCCCCCCAGCTGCCCCCCCCGCCCCCGCTCAGGCTCCTGCTTCGCAGCTCACCTGATCGGGTAGTTATTGGCAGTAATGGGGCCCTCTGGACCTTCTGAGTATAACAGGCAATAAATCCATGCCCAGCCTCCAGGCTTGGCCTGCAGTCTCACTACCATCTCTGCCTGAATATCTCCACTCTCAGCCACTGAAGGGAAAGAAAAAAATGCAGAGTTAGGACACATATCACATAACATCACCTAAACTATCACCCCACTGACCTCTCCACTGAGTTTGGGATCCATAACATCCTCTTCTGACTACCCTAACCTGTACCACTCAGCTCCCCACCTTGACCTCACCATTGGGAGTCCCCCAGTTCTGATGCTATTTTCACCTTTACCCCTCACCTAATGTGCACCCTATAGCATCCAAAACTGCTGGCCTCTGGTGCCTCCCCAGCATCAGCCTCGACCAGACCTTCCTGGTAGGATCTCCCATGCCCTTTCCCAGCTCCCTGTCTTGTCCCCAGCTTTTCTGGACACTCACACAGGCGGTAGTGTTGAACAGAAGCGTGGCCCAGGTCCTCAGGGTGCAGCAGTCCATACCATGATTTACAGAGCAGTTCACTGCGCTCAAAGCCCAGGTAGATTAGGACACTGGGAAAGCGGAAAGGGTGAGGTCAGCTTTCTGTTTTCCCTGCTTGCCATGGCCTCTCACTCCCTCCCAGGTCCTCTGGTCCCTTAGATCCCATCCTCCCTGCCCCTGACTCCAGAATCTAGGGTCCCCTCATCTCTGGCCTGCTTTCCTCCCGGGGTCTACACACTGTGGGCTTACCTCTCAGAGATGTCCAGTAGGGCCAGGTCCTTAGCATGACGGCTCTGGAACATGGCCAAGAAGAGCGAAGCAGGCCCAGGCCCAGGACCAGGGCGGGGTCGTGGCTCCAGTGGAGCACAGAAGGCTGTGAACACAGGGTTTCCTGCCCAGTAGGCTCCAGGTGGGTGAGCATGGAACCGGCCTCGAATAAGCACCAGCTTGTTGCCTGCACTCTGGCGCCTAAGGGACTTGGAGGTGTTGAAGCGACAGCGGAAGAGGCGATCTAGGTGAGTGAAGAGGAAAACTGATAAGAAGGCAAATGGCTGAGAGAGATGGCAGATGGGGAGGGGCAAGGCAGCAGAAGGGAGATTGGATTGAGGAAGAGAGAAAGGAGTGCTCACCGGTGTCTAGGGCAGAGGGCAGGGCGAGTTGCTGGCGCACAGTTAGGTGGTCCGCTGGGTCAATGATGTCGTAGATGCTGTCGCCCTGGGCAACCAGGTCCACCTGGAGAAAGGTGAAGAGGAGATGATCATTAGTGAAGGCGTCAAGAGCCAATCTTTGACAAATAGCACCTTGCAGGGTATAAACCCTTGCTCCCAAGTAAATCTCAGAAGTAGAAAGCTCATTGTGTCCCATCTGTGCCCTGGCCCTCAGCACTCACCATGGAGTGGCCCAGATGCTCGCTCACACTCTCAGACAGATACAGCAGCTTCCCCTCCGCTGTGAACACAAGCAGAAAGCCAGGTAGCGCGGCCACTATGTCTTCAAGTTCTTGAGTTGAGAGAAGCCCTGTGGGCCCCCCCAGAGGAGCACCTGTGGGATGAGAAGACATGGTGAGTCAGGAGTGAGACCAGAAGGCATGGAGTGAACTTCAGAAAATCCAGAGGAATTTCTCATGGCCCTGCCTCTGCACACACCTCTGGACCCACTGCCCGCGGTTCTTGCCTAGGGAACCTGTTGCTGGACTTCCAAGTCGGGGCCGGGCTTTCCTGCATCCCTGAACGTCAGGACCGCGGACAGCGCTACAGAGACGCGCGGGAATTCAGCACCGCGGACAGCGCCTCGCCACCCGGCGGTGCTGTCTGCACCGTGGACAGCGCTACTCTATCTCTGCAACTTCCCGGGCTTTCCTCTCGGGCTCCGGGAGCGCCTCTGCGCGGGTGGGAACTGGGGCCATTGTGTCCTGGCTCTATTCCTTGCATAAGTCTGGCGCTAGGAACACCGTCCGGGCTCTCTATTCCCCACCCAGAACTAAGCTGAAGTCTGGACAGAGCTCGGAAGGAAAAGTGGGAGTTCCTTAGTCCCCGATCCCTTCTCTCCCAGCTCACCAACATGCCACCCTAGGCATGCGGCAGCCCCAGAGCCTTCCCTTAGCTCCACGGTCCCCAGTGTCCGCCAGCTCGGGTCTCCGAAAACCCCAGTCTGCTCACCTCCGGCGAAGAAGACGCCCTTGCGAGTGTAGATGCAGGCAAGACTCATGATGTGCAGGTAGGACAGCCGGACCTTGTCCGCTTCGGCCAGCGGCAGCAGCTCCTTGAGGTTCCGGATCTCCGCGTTGATCTGGTCGCGGCGCGCCTTGGAGGCGCCCTTGGTGGAGCGGTACATGCCTGGCGGCTGCGGGGCTCCCGCTCCGGCGCTCCGAGCACCTGCGGTCCTGTCCCGAAGCCGGTGGCTTCTTCCTCCTCGCTTCCCCGGCTCTCGCTCCGGCTCTCGCTCCGGCTCGCTCTCTCCTCTCCTCTCCTGGGCTCCGCTCCGCTGCGCTGCCTCCCTCGCCTGCCTCGTTCCGCCTTATATAGCTCCTGCCAGGCGTGGGGGGGGCACGATTTAGAGAAAGGGGGGCGGGAAAGCGGGAGGCTGGGCTCAGCAAACTGCAGCAGGAGCCACTGGCAGGCGCTCCTCCTCCCTCCCCGGCTTCCTACGTCATCCCGTGACGTAGAAGGAGAGCAGGAGGGGTGCCGGCGGGAGGGGGAGAGAGGAGGCTGCGGAGGGGGCCGGGGCTGGCGGCAGCTGAGCGGAGGGTCAGGTGCTGCGTTAGGAAGGCCTGAAGGGGGTGCAGGGGCCCAGGCGTCCGAGTGTGCTCAGCCCAGGGAAGCGACAGGGCAAGGGCGGAGGCGGCCAGAAGCCCCTGGCAGGAGAGGCTGTGGAGGGCCAGGAGGGGTTGGTTCCCACATCGATTTTTAAAGGAGATAAGAAAAGGGGGGCATGGTTGTCCACAAACCCCCCCTTCCTAGCTGCGAGCCAAAAGTCACCTTCACACGAGGGGAAGAAGGGCCTTGTTAGCCTCCGCGGGATAGGTCGCGGCTAGGGTTTCTCTCCAGGGATTCCTGGGTCTGGGATTGCCTTAGTCACTTTCAAAGAACAAGCCTCCTCCCCCCACCCCGTCCCCAAGCCCGGCCTTGGTGGTTTAGCAGGGGAGTGACGCTGACGCGGGGGGGGGGGTCTCAGCCCCTCGGGTGGGTGGAAAGGGGTCCTGAGGAAGAGGGATCCGCCGAGTCTGGCCTTGGTCCTATTTTCCCACCGCCAAGCATGGAAATAGCAGCTCCTACGCTGCGGTCTGCAGGGATTCCAACGAATTAACCTCAGCCCGTGGCGGGGGAAACTGAGGCAGGGTCCAGGGCATGGTGAGGATCTGAGTCTGCACCGAGGTA